TCGGGGGCTCTGGCCCTGCCCTGACGCCGGCTGCCGTTGCAGGTATTACCTGGGCGACCGGCTCCTGGCCCAGGGGAACGTGTGGCTGGAACGGGCCGTCGTGGAGCAGATCGGGCTCTGCTTCCCCAATCGCTTCCCCCAGCAGATGCTGAAGAGCCTGAGTGAGTCGGAGGAGCTGCAGCAGCAATTCCACCTCTTCCAGCTGCAGCAGCTCGACAAGCGCCTGCTGGAGCTGGACGCGGGCCAGGAGGATGCGGTGAGAACCCGGGCGGGGCGGGGTCTGGGCTGTGCCCCCTCCCTTCCCCGGGCACATGGGGGGCTGGGGAGGGTGGCGGGGTCTGTGCGGTTCCCCCTCCCTTCCCCGGGCACATGGGGGGGGCACATGGAGGGCTGGGGAGGGGGGCGGGGTCTGGGCAGGGCGGGGTCTGTGCCGTGCCCCCTCCCTTCCCCCGGGGGGCGGGGTCTGTGCCGTGCCCCCTCCCTTCCCCGGGCACATGGGGGGAGAACATGGAGGGCTGGGGAGGAGGGCGGGGTCTGTGCCGTGCCCCCTTCCTTCCCCCGGGCACATGGGGGAGAACATGGAGGGCTGGGGAGGGGAGCGGGGTCTGTGCTGTGCCCCCTCCCTTCCCCTGGGGGGCGGGGTCTGGGCCGTGCCCCCTCCCTTCCCAGGAGGTGCCGCAGACGAGCCCCTGGCGGGAGCCTGACCCCTGCGCCCATCCCCAGGCGATGGAGGAGGAGCCAGCCGAGCCGGAGGAGGAGCCGGAGGTGAAGGTGCTGGCCCTGTCCCCGCGCTGCTGGACCGTCTCCCCTCTCTGCTACCTGGAGGATCCCAGCAGGTGTTTCCCGCGGCCCCTCGGGGGCTACTTGGCGCGGTTCGCCGACTTCTACACCAACAGTGAGTCTGGGCGCTGGGGGGGCGACTGAGCCGGGCAGGGGCTGGGGGGTGGACACTGTGCCCCATGGTGGTGGCGGGGAGCGGCGTGTGACAGGGGAGAGGGTACCGGGGTGGGGGCGTGTGATTGGAGAGGGGGCACCAGGGGGAGGGTGGGGAACGGGGGCTAGGCTGAGCAGTGGGGTGAGCTCCAGCCCCGCCTGGGGGTGGGGGGCAGCCCCGGCTGGCTCGGGGACCCCGCGGGCCCGGCGCTCTGGTGGCTCTGCTGGGACTGGCCGCGTCTCTTGCAGGTCAGAGCCGGTTTGGCCTGGAGCACACAAAGCCGCGGCGCCTGCAGTGGACGTGGCTGGGCCACGCGGAGCTCCGGTTCGCGGGCAGCACCACCCTGCACGTCTCCACCCTGCAGATGTACATCCTGCTGGGCTTCAACAGCGCCCAGGTGGGACCCCCGCTCCCCTGGGGGGTGGGACCCCACAGCTGGTGTAAATGGGGCACCAACTGCTCCTGTCCTTGCAGCACAGAGAGCGCCTTCCCCCCAGCTCATCCATATGGGGCAGAGACGGTCTGTCCTCCCCCCTGGGCAGACACCCCCCTTCCCTCGTGTGTCCCCCCCCCACTTCCCGAGCCCTTGGACTCTCATCTCCACAGCCCTGGTCCCTGCCCCCCTGTGGCCAAGCAGCCGCTGTTTCCCCTGGGTGGCTTGTGCCAGAGGAATCTGTGTTATTCTCTCTCCCCTTTGCCCCTCAGCCCCCCCCCCTCCGGCCCCTCCCCCACAGCCCCCAGCGACCTCGCCCCCATGCCACGGCCCCCAGAGACCTCGCCCCATTGCCCCAGCCCCTGGGCCGTGGCCCCAAGACACCTGGCCCAGTTGGCCTGTCCTGGCCCCCAGAGCTGTCGCCCCACCGCCATGGCCCTGCCCCTGCGTATTCACTTCCTGTCTCCTTTGCGCCGCAGGAAGTTGCTGTGGAGACCCTGGCCCAGGCCACGGGGCTGTCTCCTGTCCTGCTGAGCCACGCACTGAAACCTCTGACGGGAGAGGCCGGGATCCTGACCCAGAGCCTGCCTCAGGGGGGTGCGTATGGAGGGACCGGGCAGGGGGGGGGGTTGAGCCCTGTCCCTGTGTGGTCCCTGAACAGGGGGACCACAGCTGGGGATGGAGCCCTGGAGCCCCTGCGCTGGGCCTGGTGGGGGTGTGGAGGGTTGGCCGGGCTGGGCTGGGCCCAGAGCAGGTGCCAGGGAGCACGGGGCTTGTCTGTGAGCTGGAAGGGGGTTTGCGTCCGGAGGGGCCAGTCTCCAAGCAGGGCCGGGGGGGAAGGGAGAACTGGGCTGGTGGGTGTGGAGGGGCTGGTCCCCAAGCAGGGCCAGAAGGGGCATCGTGTGGGAGGCCTGGGGCTGGTCCCTAAGCAGGGCTGGGGGGTGGGATATGTGTGGGGGGGGCCCATGGAGGGGCTGGGGCTAGTCCCTAAGCAGGGCTCGAGGGGGGGAGGAGGAGGGAGAACTGGGCGTGTGCGTGTGTGTGTAGGGGCTGGTCCCCAAGAGGGGCCGGAGGGGGTACATGGGAGGGAGGGCGCGTGGAGGGGCTGGGGCTGGTCCCCAAGCAGGGTTGGGGGGTGGGATATGTGAGGGGGGGCATGGAGGGCTAGGGCTGGTCCCCAAGCAGGGCCGGGGGTGCTGGAGGAACCGCTCCCTGGGCATGGCTGAGTGCGGCTGTGTTGGTCCCAGGCGTCCTGCGTCTGAACGAGGCGGCCTTGGCACGGGCGGCCGGCCAGCGCCTGTGGCTGCTCCCCAAGCAGACGTACCTGAATGTGGAGGATGACGAGGGAAGCACCCTGGAGAGGAAGAGGAACATCATCTGCTGCCTCATCATCCAGATCCTGAAAGGGGAGAAGGAGCTGCACATCGATAACCTGGTGTTCAAGGTACGGGGGCCTGGCAGGCGAGCGGCCGCGCTGCTCCGCGCCCCGGCAGCCTCAGAGTAACTGCCCTCTCCCCCCCAGGTGATCGACGCCTGTCAGAAATGGGAGTCTGGCCCTGCCCTGAAGTTCCTTAGCTTCTGCTGCAGCAGCACGGACGTGCTGTCCTGCACCCTGCACCTGCTGAGCCAGGGCTACGTGCGGCGCCAGGAGGACAACCCCCAGCTGCTGGAGTACGTCTCCACAGAGCCCACCCCCTCCCCCTCCCCCTCTCCGCCCCAGCAGCGCCCGCCCCAAGTCACCTTCCAGACAGTGGAGATCAAGACGATGCCCAACGCAGCCTGCGCCGAGAGGAGACAGACCTTCTCCACCTTCAGGTAGAAGCGGAGCGGGGCTGTGCGCGCGGGCCAGGTGGGCACGGACACTGCTCCCTGGGGTGCCGGAGCCCCAGCCACAGGCAGTGCATTGGCTGCCCGGTGCTGGGGGTCTAGGCATGCCTGGTGCTCGAGCCAGGAGAAGCCCTGCCTGGGCCCAGCCACTGCCCCTGGAGCACAAGACACGATTCCCAAGGGCTCGAGGTTTTTAATTTAAATAAAACAGCTGTGCTGATCTGTGCCCTCCCTTTGCTGATCTGTGCCCGCAGCCCTGGGCCCTACCAGGGAACGGCAGAGCTGGCACCTCACCCCCAGTGTGCAGGGGCTTGGGCACAGCTGGAGGTTATGGGGGGCTCCCTCCCTTGCTCTGGTGAGGCTGGTGCCAGCACCCCCATTAGGCTAGTGGCAGAATTGAGCCGTCTGGCTCCATTGGCAGCTCCTGATTCTCCCAGGTGCCTGGGACGGGGGGGGTCAGCATTGATGGCAAGTCCCTGGAGCTGGGCTTGGCATTCCTGGCCTGGCTGGCACCGTCTCCTGGGAGCTGCGCTCTGCGCAGTACCTGGCATCTGCAGCAGCCATAGCCATGCACGGTTTGTAAGCCCCCAAGCCCCAGCGCCCGCCACGTGTGGGGTTCTCGCCCACCAGAACACAGGTGTGTGAGAGGCAGCAGCATTGGCCATGGCTGAGGGGCTCTGCACCCCCTTCCCGCACGGGGCCCAGCTCTACACACCCTGCACCTCAGTCACAGTGGTACCAGCATTAATTTATTAAAATTAATCCAGAAAAGCAACCATACAGTAAGTTTAAAAAAAATAGAATCTTGTAAAAAAAACAGGGTAATGCCCCCGCCGGCCGCCCAGCCCCCAGTTTGGGTCTCCGAGGGCAGGGAGTGGTTTGGCAGCATGAGGGGCTGGGCTGGGCTTGGAGTCTGCCAGGCGGAGGGCAGGAGTGTGAGATCAGCTGCAGTGCCAGGGCTGGGGGGCTGCCACACTCCTCGTGTGAACCCCATGCCAGCAGTAAGTGGGAAAACACAGCCTGTGCCCAGGGTCCCCCCATCTGCAGCGGGTGGGCCTGCCCCTAGCATTTCTGAGCAGGGGGCTGCAGCGCGGACTGACGGGTGGAGGCTCGGTGAATGGCTGGGTGCTGGCTCCTGGCGCTGAGGGCACAGCTGGGCCAGCCCAGCTTTCTGCTCCCCCCGGGCCAGTGCCTGGGACCTCACTGCGGAGCAGCCCTGCCCCCCAGGCTCGCTGCAGCACAGCTCCCCTAGCGCTGGGGCCCTGGAGCTGATGGTGGAGGAGGCCCCCACCTGCCACATTCGTGGCTTCCTACCTGCAGCGCTAGGAGAGCCTCAGCTGGTCCACAGGCTGCAGCTCCAGCGGCCCTCGTGTTCCCTAGTGGGCGGCAGGGGGGCTGGGCCCAGGTCTAGGGGCTGCTGCAGGGCCTTGAGCAAGGGGTGACATCCCCTAACCGAAACGGCAGGGTGGGGCAGAGACCCCTCAACTGCCTGGAGCTGCCAGTGGGGCCCTGGGGCTTCCGAAAGGGGGTGACTGAAGTTAGGCCCTGGCCAGAGGGTGCCACTGGCTGAGCTACCCCCCGGCGGGAGCCAGAGCAGCCCGCTCTGCTGGTGCAGCACCAGTAAGACACCCTCAAGCAGCTCCCAGTCCCCCTCCCTTCCCTGGGGTGGGCCCCTGCCCCCTGGTGGTGGGAGGCTGGCCTGGGGGGTGGTAGCTCTGGAAGCCACATGGATTCCCCGTTGCACCAGTTCTAGCTGCATGTTAAAAGCCCCCTGGGGGAAAGAAACCGAGTGGGAACAGCCAGGGCCTGGAACCTCCCCCCGTGCCCAGCAGAAGGGACGGGCCATGGCCATGGCCGCCTCCTGCCACACTCAGCAGAGTCCCGGCTCCCGGGCCGCCCGGCTGGCTCACACGCTCTTCGAGTAGCCAAAGATGCCCACGGGGAGATGCTTGACGTGTGTTGGCCACTGCGCTGCTAGCTGGAAAAACTTCACGTCGTTCCACTCCACGCCGTCGATGGACACTGAGAGGAGAGAGCACAGCGCCAAACATAAGAATGGCCACCCTGGGTCAGACCAAAGGTCCATCCAGCCCAGTATCCTGTCTTATGACAGTGGCCAATGCCAGGTGCCCCAGAGGGAATGAACAGAACCGGGAATCATCAGGTGATCCATCCCCTGTCGCCCATTCCCAGTGTCTGGCAAACAGAGGCTAGGGCCACCATCCCTGCCCATCCTGGCTAATAGCCTTTGATGGTGACCTGTCCTCCGTGAACTTATCTAGTTCTTTTTTGAATCCTGTTATAGTTTTGACCTTCACAACATCCTCTGGCAAAGAGTTCCACGGGTTGACTGTGCGTTGTGTGAAAAAATACTTCCTTTTGTTTTAAACCTGCTGCCTATTAATTTCATTTGGTGACCCCTAGTTCTTGTGTTAAGAGGAGTAAATAGCACTTATTTATTTACTTTCTCCACACCAGTCATGATTTTATAGACCTCTATCAGATCCCCCCTTAGTCATCTCCTTTCCAAGCTGAAAAGTCCCCGTCCTATTAATCTCTTCTCATACAGCAGCCGTTCCAAACCCCTAATCATTTTTATTGCCCTTTTCTGAACCTTTTCCAAATCCAATAGATCTTTTTAGTGATGGGGCGACCACATCTGCAGGCAGTATTCAAGACGTGGGCGTACCATGGATTTATACAGAGGCAATAGGATATTTTCTGTCTTATTATCTATCTCTTTCTTACTGGTGCCCAATGTTCTGGTCGCTGTGCTCAGAGCACACATGCAGCTCAGCTGTGGGGGGCAGGACAGTGTGTGTGCATGCACAGCTCACCCCCCCAGAGCTGGGCCGGGGGAGAGAGAGACTCTGGCAGAGCTCAGCCAGCCCCCGGTGTCCAAGTGGTGGGGCAGAGCTGTTGGCCTGGCTGGCTCTCTGGAGGGGTGTGGCATGGTGCTGGGCCGCCCTCACCTCGGAGCATGGTGTTCTGGTGCTTAGCCGTACAGATCAGGCGCGTAATCCCTTCGATGACTTGGCTTTTGGGCTCCAGGTCCTTCTCCTTGGGTTTCTTACTCAGGAACATCACTGGGAGGAGAAAGCAAAGACTCCTAGAGCCAGCCCTGCCAGGGGAGCCAGGCTGGGACTCTCCGCCCCCTCCAGGGCAGGCTGGGACAGGTGCAGGCCCTGCCTGGGCCTTTGCCAGCCGTTACCTTTCTTGTTCTTCTCCTTGGTGACCACGGTCATGGCCATGGTGCTGGGGGGGACCAGCTCCCCGGCGCCGGGCACGCGGCTGACCTGCAGCGACCGGAAGTTGCTCTTCAGTGTGTTCTTCAAGCCCATCTCCCGCTTCTCTCCCTCCTTCTTCTTCTCCGGCCCCTGGCTTGTCCAGTAGTCGACCTGCAGGCCCATCACCTCCACGCCGGGGCTCAGGGACCTGGGCGACAGCCACAGCAACATAGCCCCAGCCACGCTCCGCCCCTCAGGGCTGGGCCTAGCCACCCCCTCCCCGTACCAGCGTCCCTCCGGATCCAGCCCCATTCGGGTCTCCTGCTGCCCCACAGCCAGCTCCAGCCCCTCCTCCCCATGGGCATCACCCATGTGGCCCAAGGGGCACGGGAACATCGCCCGCAATCTCCGCTTTCATTTAACAACCAGAGCGTCTCAGGCCCGGGGGCTGGGGGTGTGTGGCACAGCCCCCGCCCCTCACTGCCTGGCAGTGCGTACCCCACACGGTGCAGCATGGACCCCCTCCCTTCTGGGCCAGGGGACACAGAGGAGGGTGAACACGCCAGGCGGGCTGGGACAGAGTAGTGTGGCTGGCTCTGCTGGAGGGAAATGGTTAACAAGCCTGCGGGACATTAACCCTACTCCGGCCTCCCTCCAGTCCCCCTGGCGGAGCCTCACCCAGCCCCCGAGAGGCCGCTGCTGACAGACGGGGAGGGCGGTGGGGTGCCCATGGCCTCCTTGCTGTGGGGGGTCCCTGCGCTGGCTGGAGATGCAGAGCTCAGCAGGGAACTGGTGCAGACTGTGGCGTCATCAGAGTCCACTAGCAAGAGGGAAAGGCAGGGCCAAGTTAGAGGGATACAGGGGGGCTGAGCCGGGGGGGGGGGCGTATCCCCAGGGCAGCAGTGGGGCTGCTCTGGGGCCGAGGGCCATGACACCCCCTTGCCTGTGGCTCTGTGCTGGGGCAGGATGGGCACTTGCAGTCCTGGGGCCCTGAGGGGTGTAGATGGGACCTTCCCGGCTCCC